GGTGGTCTTCTGTAAATGTGACGATGTGTAAAATAGTGATTATGTTATACTCAGAAGCACTAATGCGCATTTGTACCAAATCAACAGTACTGTAGGCTCCTAAAATATTGACCCCTAAACTACCATTCTTGTCCTACATAATCCTGTCAAGACTTTCAGTAGATAAACTATCACTACAAGGTGGTCTTCTGTAAATCAAGCGATGTGTAATAGTCATCATGTTTTACTCAGAAGCACTAGTGCACATTTGAACCAAATCTAACAATACGATCCTATAATATTGACCCCTAAACCATCATTATTGATCCAAATTTGCCTGTGAAGACTTTAGATAAACTGTCACTACAAGGTGGTCTTCTGTAAATGTGACGATGTGTAATAGTGATTGTTATTCTCAGAAGCACTAGTGCACATTTGTACCAAATCAACAGTAAGATCCTAAAATATTGCACCCTAAACCTTCATTCTTGTCCTACATAATCCTGTCAAGACTTTCAGTAGATAAACTATCACTACAAGGTGGTCTTCTGTAAATCAAAAGATGTGTAATAGTCATTATGTTTCACTCAGGAGCACTAGTGCACATTTGAACCAAATCTAACAATACGATCCTATAATATTAACCCCTAAACCATCATTCTTGTCCTAAATATGCCTGTTAATACTTATTCGGTAGATAAACTATTACTACAAGGTGGTCTTCGGTAAGTCAGACGATGTGTAATAGTCATTATGTTTTACTCAGAAGCACTAGTGCACATTTGAACTAAATCTAACAATATGATCCTATAATATTTCTGCAGTGTGCATGCGATATAAAGAAGAAAAGTTTGGGTTTCCAGCAGCTGGCATCAGTTGTTAATGCTCCTGCACGCCTTCGTTCTATAGCTCTCCGGGCAACCGTTATTATTATTTATGGGGAAAAGTGAACTTTTTGCTGAGTGCTTTTGCTGAACTTTGGAAGCTACCGTATTCATTGTTTCAGCTGAATAATATTTACCATGGGCTTTTCTCTTGCTCGCTGGGAACAAAGCGCGTATTGATCCTGAAATGAACCGACACAGCAGTCTTTATTGTTAGATCTTTATCTATTAAAAATGGAAAAGCTTCGATTCAGCACATTCCCCAGCATCTGCTTATGATTACCCTATTTATTGATTGTTTTCCTCCCCAAAAAAAAATGATCGCTTTCTTAGCCTAGTGACCAGGGGGTTGGAGAAATATGATTTATTACGATTGCCCATGCTGATATTACCCCCTAGTCTCTATTAAATCCTGTAAAAATAAAGATCCCGAGTCCAGGAGATCAGAAAGTTCCTGAAATTTCATCACCGGAGTGTTGCAGCTGGCTGGTATTATGTGATATTTGCACAGTAAACCCGAACACATGACAGCTTTGGATGGAGATTCTTCATTTTTTTTTTCTTTTCTCTGATAGCGCTGTGCTGTTTACACAGCCTCGTAAAACCTCAAGGCTATACGGTGCGTTGGGAGCCGAACGGTGCATCATGGGAAGGGTTTCCGGGATCCGCCTGAAGAAGTATTTTAATGCGATTTTAGCACCTTAACAATAAATAAAGCACTAAACCCGCGTTGAGCTCTAACCTTTTAGTACGCTAACACGTTTAAATAGCAGAGCTGTTTCGTCGTCTGACGCCGTCTCTGATCTTATTATGCATGTTACAATGCTGCTTTATTGTTACACCATTACTGCGGATTAGAATCCATTGATCATAAGAGCGCTGTAATAAATGATTTTTCGAGAGTTGGAAATGAAGATAGTTGGATGGTGCTTTATAGGAGAAATGTTACTTCAGTTAACAATGTTACTTGGTTGTTTTTTTTTCGTAATTATTCTATATTCTACCAATTGTTTTAACTCTTATAATTCATTCGGGTCCATTTTGTACACAAAAAATGCATAACAATTAAGGAACTAAACTTTGAAAATGCAGTAAGATGATCAAAATACTTACAATTTTATTTTATTTTATTTTATTTTATTTTATTTATTTATTTATTTATTTATTTATTTATTTATTTATTTATTTTACAATGCTGCTTTATTGTTACACCATTACTGCGGATTAGAATCAATTGATCATAAGAGCGCTGTAATAAATGATTTTTCGAGAGTTGGAAATGAAGATAGTTGGATGGTGCTTTATAGGAGAAATGTTACTTCAGTTAACAATGTTACTTGGTTGTTTTTTTTTCGTAATTATTCTATATTCTAGCAATTGTTTTAACTCTTATAATTCATTCGGGTCCATTTTGTACACAAAAAATGCATAACAATTAAGGAACTAAACTTTGAAAATGCAGTAAGATGATCAAAATACTTACGATTTTATTTTATTTTATTTTATTTTATTTATTTATTTATTTATTTATTTATTTATTTATTTATTTATTTATTTATTTATTTTACAGTGCTGCTTTATTGTTACACCATTACTGCAGATTGGAATCCATTGATCATTAGAGCGCTGTAATAAATGATTTTTCGAGAGTTGAAAATGAAGATTGTTTTCACTGTGGTTTATGGGAGAAATTTTATTTCAGTTTATGGTATTACTTGGTTGTTGTTTTTTGTAATAATGACATAAATACTTGCACTTTTTTAAAGTCTAATAATTCATTCATGTTCATTTTGAACATAAAAAAAGAAATGCAAAAAAAAATGATTGAAGTGCATAGTTATTATTAAAGAAATAAAAGTTTGCAAATGCTTTAAGATGCTCAAAATTCTCATATTTAATGAATTAATTTAATTACAGTAGATTTTCTTTTCTTTTTTTTAATATTTCCCAAAAGATGTTTAACAGAGCAAGGACATTTTCACAGTATTTCTGATCATATTTTTTACTCTGGAAAAAAGTCTTTGTTTTTTTTTGACTAGATTAAAAGCAGTTTTTAATTGTTAAAAAACAGGTCAATATTATTAGCCCCTTTAAGCTATATATATTTTTGATAGTCTACAGAACAAACCTTTTGTTATACAATAACTTGCCTAATTACCCTAACCTGCCTAGTTAACCTAATTAACCTAGTTAAGCCTTTAAATGTCACTTTAAGCTTTATAGAAGGTTCCTGAAAAATATCTAGTCAATAATTATTTACACGCGCACACACACACATACATATATTCTACTTCAGTTTGCGGTCTTACTTGGTGGTTGTTGTTTTTGTAATTATTGAAACATTCTAGCAATTTTTTAACCCTCATAATTCATTCAGGTCTAAAAATGGCAAAAATGCATAGTTATTAATAAAAATAAAAGTTTGGAAATGCTGCAAGATGCCCCAAAAGTATTGACAATTTATTTTATTTTATCTTATCTTATCTTATCTTATCTTATCTTATCTTATCTTATCTTATCTTATCTTATTGTATATTCTTTTATTTTAATTTATTTATTTTTTTATTGTATTTTATTTTATTTTATTTTATTTTATTAGAAATTCCACTTCAGCTTCCAGTGTTACTTGTTTTTTCACAATTAATTTTATTTTATTTTATTTTATTTTATTTTATTTTATTTTATTTATAGACTAATTATATTACATTTATAGACTAATATCATTTGTGTTTTATCAATTATGTGTTATCATTATTGTTTGTTTGTGTGTTTGTTTGTTTGTTTTAAATATTTATTTTATTTTTTATTCTGGGTTTATTTGTCAGGTACAGTGCACATTAATAATTATTAATTAGCCAAACAGTTATTTTGGAGCTTCCTTCCCTGGGCCAATGATAAAATAGGTGACCTAAAAGTATTAAACCATTAATCAATACATAATAGATCCAAGTTTTCAAAATACATATTTACTAACATAAAATGCTCTAACAAAAAATGAACAATCCGCCAAGAAATTATATTCTACCTAAAACCAACAGAACACTTTCAACACACTCATCATTGCAGAAAATTAGTGTCATTCAAACAACAACTAAAAACCAAATCTTTCTGCGATCACCTGAACCCCAGTGAACAAATACAGGGCCCCCTCTTCACCCCCCACCTCCAACGCATCATTTTAAAACCTCAAAGCATAATGCAGTTCTCAGTGTGCCTCACACAGGTCAGTGGTCTTGACAAACCACCTGTAGAAATCACCCTCCTTCATCTCTCCGACACTTTAACCAACACTTGCAGCAGTTACATGCACATTTTGCACCGGACACTTTCTTACACACTCAACGTCTCATACAAAAACCAAAAACATTGTGCATTTATGAAGTGAGCTTCACACAGGTGAGTGGGTTTGACAAACCACCCGTAGAAAGACTCTTCTCTTTAAAAGAAACTCCAGCATGTAATGCTCCTTATAACGTACCATGTATATTAGCACTTGTTGTGTGTATTGCCTCTTCGTGTTGGATTGCTGAATGCCTTCTCAATTGTAAGCATCTACTAAATGATTCTAAATTAATCTAAATGTCATTTAAATTAAACAAACATGCAACTATCAGAGAAAATGGCCAATAAATACCAATATGCAGGCTGAATTTAAGGAAACACTAGCATTAATCATTTAGCATCATTCTATAACTTAGGTTTCTAGTCCAAACATCTAAAAATAATCCAAATATCTTAAATCAAGAAGCTTTTTCTAGACAAGCATAACATGTTGTCTTGTTTTAAAAAATAATATGTCAAAATTATGTGAGTTTTTCATTAAAACAAGCTAAATAATTTGCCAAATGGTTAAGCAAATTAATCTAATATCAAAAGGAAAGACAAGATTATTTTGCTTATCCCATTGGCAGATTGTTTAGCTTGTTTACTGGAAAACTCACTTAATTTAAGTACTTTTTTCCTTAAACAAGTCAATATGTTTAGCTTGTCCCAAAATGCTGCTGGATTTAGGAATTTCTAGATATTTGGACTAGAAACAAGACCAAAAATCTAAGTAAGAAAAGCGTAAAACATAAGAAGGCAGTTGAGTTTGTAAATGAATGCTCAAGTGTTAAGCCTGCTGTGTTGTGTCTGCAGGTAACATGCTGCCGGTGTTCTGTGTGGTGGAGCACTACGAGAGCCCGTTGGAGTTCGACAGCAAAGAGGAACACGCCGAGTTCGTCCTGGTCAGAAAAGACATGCTCTTCAACCAGCTCATCGAGATGGCCTTGCTCTCTCTGGGTTACTCGCACAGTTCAGCCGCACAGGCTAAAGGTACAGAACATGTACACCTTGGCTGCTGGGCGATGCAATGCAAGAAATGCTTTTCTTAATTTTTACTTTGGTTGTTTGTTGTAGCACGTCGAAAGGAAAGAGGACGTTGTTTTATTTACCCCATTGGCAGATTATTTTGCTTGTTTCAAAGAAAAACTCGCTTAATTTTGACTTATTAATTCTTAAACAAGACAATATGGTTTGCTTGTCTTGAAAATGCTTCATTCATTTAAAGATATTTGGACTAGAAACAAGGGAAAAACTCTAAAAGCATCTTATTTTTATGTTTTGTCTAGCCTAATATTTAAAAAATCTGAAATCAAAATGCATATTCTAGAAAAGTAAAAAATATCGTCCTGTTTTTAGAAATAATAGGTTCAAATTTAGTGAGTTTTTCCTTAAAACAAGCAAAATAACCTGCCAATGGGATAAGAAAAATAATCCCGTTTCACCTTTAAGTGTTGTCGACAGATTATTTAGCTTGTTTTAAGGAAAAACTCGCTTAATTTTATCATATTATTTCTGACAACAAGACAATATTTAAGAGTAATTCTTTAAGAGTAATTTAAGAGTTTAAGAACTTAATTAGGCAACGCAGTGGTGCAGTAGGTAGTGCTGTCGCTTCACAGCAAGAAGGTTACTGGTTTGAGCCTCGGCTGGGTCAGTTGGCATTTCTCTGTGGAGTTTGCATGTTCTCCCCACGTTCGTGTGGGTGTGCTCCGGTTTCTCCCACAAATCCAAAGACATGCGGTATTGTCCGTAGTGTATGAGTGTGAATGAGAGTGTATGGGTGTTTCCCAGTGATGGGTTGCAGCTGGAAGGGCATCCTTTGTGTAAAACATATGCTGGATAAGTTGGCGGTTCATTCCGCAGTGGCGACCCCAGATTAATAAAGGGACTAAGCCGAAAAGAAAATGAATAAATGAATGAAGAATTTAATTACAATTATAAATTCTTATTAGAGAAAAGCGTTTTCGGCAGTGTGACAAACATCTTTAATCCTGATAACGCTACATTTCACGATGTAGTACAATTTCTGCCCTTTCATGTATTTCCAAATGTGCTGCTTAGTGGAGAGAAGATTCTTAACGCCTTTTGTAAACAGAATAGTTTTAATAACTCATTTCTAATAACTGATTTCTTTTCTCTTTGCAAGGATGACAGTAAATAATATTGTTCCACTTAAGTGTTAAAATTAAATTTTACGATTGGGTTTTCTTCTGTAGATGATTTCAAAATATATGTTAATAATATTGACCTTAAATTAATACGTTTTTATTTTATTTTATTTATTTTATTAAAGACTTTTTAAATGTCTTTTTGGCTTTATTATAGCTTTTGTCCCGAAATTAAATAAGACTTTCTCAATAGGAAAAAAATATATTTTTAATTTAAATATAATTTAATTGCTCTATTAAAATCACTTAAAAAAATAACATAAGAGTGGATAATTTTGACTAAACTATACATATTGACTACATGTAAAGGACTATTTATTTTTTATACCCACTTTAAATATTAAATACTCATAAAAGGTACTCATTCATTCTGTATGTGATCATAATTCAGGGCAAATGTTCGAAAATAAATATATAGAAATATAATAATAAAGTATAATAAAATAAAATAGAATAAAATATCACTTTTTAAATTAATGACTACAGGTCCAACGTAAAAAATGAACATTGCACTTTCACATCTTCACAGGATTGTAACATACATAACATCGCACTCATATAAATTATGAAAAATGATTACCGTAAACGATATTTTTTGTGACATCACGAAATAAACTATAGAACATAATGTTAAACGATACCCTTTTTATTTTGACCACACAATATGCAGATGAAGTCAAACTCATTCACCCTCCTGTTATTTATTTATTTTTTAATATTTCCCAAACAATGATGAACAGAGCAAGGAATTTTTCACAGTATTTTCTATAATGTTTTTTTCTTCTGGAGAAAGTCTTATTTGTTTTTATTTCAGCTAGAATAAAAGCAGTTTTTAATTTTTTAAACACCGTTTTAGGGTCAAAATTATTAGCCCTCTTAAGCAATATTTTATTTCAATTGTCTAAAGAAGAAACATCGTTATAAAATGACTAACCAAATTACCCTATCCTGCCTAATTAACCTAGTTAAGCCTTTAAATGTCACTTTAAGCTGAATACTAGTATCTTCAAAAACTTCTAGTAAAATATTATGTCATTATGACAAAGATAAATCAGTTATAAATGAGTCATTTTAAATATCATGTTTAAAAATGTTTAAAAAATAAGCTAGGAAAAAAATATAGAGGGGGCTAATAATTCAGACCGCAACTATATTCATCATTATATTTCCCAACCCACCTTCCAAAAGCACAACATATTCCACCTGTTCCTCCAGAATGCATGCATGCTTTTAGATCAAGTTTATGAGTCATCCAGGCAGATGCTCCGATATTTTTGGAGGCTAAACTGTAGTATTTTTGGCGTGATTTGTTGGCTGTCTTCTAGTCGTGCAGGCATGGGTCTGACCCGAAGCCGAGGTCAGGGGATTGTGGGTAGAGCGGGAGCACACAGGTGCACCTCCTGCTCTCTGTAATCACACTTTTCTCAATGGGAACGAGTGTGGAGGTGGACCTGCGGGTTTCTAATTGCTCGCTTTATGGAGTTGGGGGCTATTTTCAGAGCTCTAGCCTTCAGCCTGTAATTTATTGCAGGCTGTCCATCATTATTTCTGTTTTCTTTCGATCTTCTGGATCTTGTTTTTCTCTTTTTTCTCCTGTTACTCGTTTAGTCGCAGTCGAAAGAAAGCATATGGTCAAGCTTTTTTTTCTTTTTATTTAAGAGTTAAGAGCGAAAGCTTTACTTCAAACCCATATACTGTAAACATATAGTGGTATTACCATTAAAAACGTGGTGTTTGCCGTGATTTGTTGCTATTTTCAGACCAGCGCAACAGTAATTTTCACGATTTGTGCCATGTTGGTTAGGTAGCAAATCTATTTGCGCCATTTTGTGGATTCATGGGTGTGCTGATCTGAAAAGGAGGTGTGTTAAGGCGCATTGTTGATGCTATTTTGAACAATTGAAATAGATCGCGCCATTGACCAACTAAAAGCTGCTCTAAGGTCTGGCTTAGAGTGCGTTAGTTATGCACCTATGCAGGTCCAAATGCTTACACATTGCTTAATACACACAGGATGTAGAGCAATACACAAATATATCTACACATATGAAAACACTTAAAGGATTAAAATGTTACAAAAGATATTATTTTCTGCATAAATATAAAAACCACTACTTCCATGCTTTATTCATCTTGGGGGGCTTTTTTCAGTTTATTCATGGCAATTTGCATTTGTGTAATGTTATTATTATCTGTATTAAAAGTTTAGATTTGTCCACCTGTCGGATTTTGGAGACGTCTGCATCACCATACGAAGCATAAGAATAGGACATGTGTTTGGACATAACTCATTCATATATTAGTTTGCTGGAAACTAGAGCTGAATTTAGAAATAGTTTTGAAGTAAATCTCTGCGCTACAAACGAAATTGAAAGAGAAAGTAAAGAGACTGAATGGAGGAGGCTCGTTCTTTATCCTTGTGCTGCAGATGGTCTGTTTAACTGTTTTCTCATCAGTTTTTCCATTTATAAATCCGCCATGTAAATAGCAAATGCGCCATGGCATGACGAAACTGACTCTTATAAGTAATAGGAACCAAGACTCTGATTGGTTTAATGCACGTTATACTCAAAACACACACTTAATTCATTAAGAGAATAAGCACAACCCTGTTAGACCGTGCGGCAAGGCACTGATCATATTTTTCCATCCTTAAGATAGTAAAAGTGGATTTGGAAACGTCGGTAATGCTTTTGTGCCATGCGCTTTAGACTTTGCGCTTAGATCATTATAATATAGCCCTATAAGTAGAAAGTTGGCATACAGATATATTATATAAAAAAATGATTTTTTTTTTAAATGCATTTTTTTTTTAAATTAAAAATGTTTAAAAGACATTGGTTTTAAATAATAGTTTTTTAAGTTTGTGATAAAAAAAAAACCCTTAATAAAAATCAGCTGAAAATTCTGCTCTATACGACTCACTAGAATAAATTACATACCTATATCATATGATAATAAAAATCACAATTTTATTGTATTTTTAATGAATTGATGCAGCCTGGGCTAATAATATTGACCATAAAATGGCTCTTAAAAATTATAACGGCTTTTATTCTAGCCTAAATAAAACAAATAAGATTTTGTCCAGAAGAAAAAATATTATCAGACATACTGTGAAAATTTCCTGAATCTGTTAAACATCATTTGGGAAATATTTTTAAAAAATAATAATAAAAGGGGGCTAATAATTCTGACTTTTCTGTATATATATATATATATATTTGCAGTCATGTTGAATAAGTAGATATGCTAATGATGGAACTGTGTATAACCATCATTTCTCCGATTATGTATGAAAGCCATGTAAAAAAAATAAACACAAATAATAGTCAGTCAATATATCACTTTAAACTATTACAAATGTTAACAAAGGTCACTTTTTCAAGGTTAAAAGTTGTTGGATGAAAGTTCAAGATTCTATAATGCAATTCAAAAGCATACATAAATGGAAAAAAGTAAAACACAAATCACAAAATATGGAAAACTGCAAATGTATGGATTTTTTACAGTTTAGCATGCATATTCTTACCAGACAGTAACACAACAAGAGTATTTATTTATTTATTTTGATCGCACTTTGCAAAAAGAGAATTAGAGAATGTATTTACCATCATGAACCAATAATGAACACTACTTGTACAGAATCTATTAATCATAGTTAAACATTTACTAATGCGTTATTAACATTATTAATGCACCATGAGTTAACATTGAACAACTGTATTTTCATTAAGTAACGTTAGCAAACATGAACAAATACTGTAATAAATGCATTGTTCAATGTTTGTTCATGTTAGTTAATGCACTATTATTAACTAATACAACTTTGCTGTAAAGCGCTACTTTATTTAACAATAGAGTCGTTTAGTCCTTCATCCATCATGCTGTGGTGTTTGTGTGTGTGGTAACTCTCATCTCTTCACCGCAGGTCTGATTCAGGTGGGCAAGTGGAACCCAGTGCCTCTTTCCTACGTGACGGATGCGCCAGACGCCACAGTGGCGGACATGTTACAGGATGTGTACCATGTGGTCACGCTGAAAATCCAGCTACACAGGTCAGTGTTTCCATCTACTGTATACCCACTCAAGCCACATACACTGCTGCCCTCCCCCCACAAGCCACTGCTGTGGGCAAACACGGGCAAACCTCTTCCTTTTTCTGTGCACATCCATGTACAGTACATCTGTGTGTGTGTGTGTGTGACGAGTCTTGTCTCCAGAGGCTCTGCGGCTCACACTTCAAGGTGTGCCGGATCCGATTGCTTTTTCTTTTTCTGTGCACGTGTATGTGTGTGTGTGTCTATGTGCAAACATGGACGTGTTAATTGCACATTACAGCAGTACTGCCGCTCATCCAATTACTCCAAAGAACGGCGAAAACCATCAGCATTGCGCTTTTTTAATAATTAATCCAGGAAGGCTTTTTATATAAAGTGATGTGTGTAATCGCTATACTTGCCGTGTTAGATTCTTGTATGTGTGTTTTAAAGTCAGCTGTCTGCGCTGATGTTAGAATGAGAGTTTAAAATCGTGCCGTATTCGTTAAAGCGAGTACACTCAAAAAAGTGCTTGTTCAAAGAAAATGAGTTTAAACAACACAATTTTTAAGAAATTTTGGGATCAACTGTATTGTTTTATGTTCAATTTACTTATATTTGTAAAAAGAGCTAAGTTAACTTAATTGATTTTTTGCATCTTTTTACAGTGTACTACACAGAACTGTAGTTTACAGCTATGGGTTATATTGACAAATATGAAGACCACTTGAAAATGTTTTCTGGAGGTTTGATTTGATTTGATCAATTTGTAATTTGAAAAAAAAAAAGAAAAAAAAA